ACTTTTTTTTTTTTTTTTTTTTTCTGTTAGCTATTTTTTCCTTTTTTTTTCTTTTTTTTTTTTTTAAAAAAACTCTAGCCACACACTTTGTGTGGTTCTATTTCTTCACCATTTTATAGAAAATTTTGTCTCCTCACAACCCAAGAAATTCTATTCATTGAACTAAATCTTCGTAGTTAAGGATTTCATCCTTAACATCTATTTCAAAAAAAAAATTAAATACAATTATAATTTTAAAATTTAACGAATGAATTTTTAACAACACTTTATTTTCTAAAACACTAACTACTACTTTAAACTATACTTAATATTATCACCATGGTTATTTATAAAACTCAAGTTATTCTTTTATATATATATATATAAGATCTAATTTATATTATCTAATATATATTGTCTAATATATATATTAATTATTTTATATTAAAATATTTTTAATTAAAGTCTATTCTCTTAATTTAGTAGAATGTGCTGATTATAAATTATTTTAAAAGAATATATATTTTAATTGATTAAAAGAAAATGAGTATTAATTATGATAAATAAATAATATAAGACATATATTTTAAACAATTAAAAGATATAAGAGTATTAATTATAAAAAAAAATAGTTTAACTTTTTTTTTTGGTAATTGAACGAGACTTACAAGCCCAACCTAGAAATCTCCAAAAAAAAAAATCACAACTGACATATCACCAAACAATAGAAAGAAATCCGAGAAGGAAGATGATCAAACACTTGTAACACGTCATCCAAACTAAAACTAAGGTCATGACAACCACTTGATTTACCCTCTAAATATATGATTACACACAAGTTCCTAGTTCATGCCCGTAACTTCCACAATAGCATTCACTAATGTAACACAGTAGTGTGAAATAGGACAACCTTCATTGAGGAAATAAGGTATAAATAGAACAAATTTTTTTATCAATTAAAATAATTATATTTCTTAATTTAGTAAATTAAATAATCGAGTCTTGTACATAAGAATTGAGTTAGTATTTATGTTTAACAAATAGGGGAAATTTCATTAACCTATTTATTGAATAATTAATGTAATGTATTTATATTTTAGTTTCACTTAATAGTACGTATTTATTTAATAGTCATTTTTAATATAAATAGTTTGATTTGACAAGTTGTAATTTAATGTATATAATACTCCATCTGAATTATTTACAAGAAAACAAAATCACACAAATTAAGGAAAGTTGTTAAGTGTATTTAATTTACACAATTTCATATAAAATATATATTATATTTATTGAAATATTTTTAATCACTTTTATCATAAATAATATTCTTATTTATTATCTTAGAGATTTTTTTGAATTAAAAATATTAAATAAATTGTTAAATTTGTTGAAATTTGTTTATATTTGAGTTTAAAATTTTTAAACATTTTTACTAATATTATTTGTGATGAGGGAGTATATTATATTACTTATGTTTCTATTTATAAGATATAACTTAAAGTAATTACTTATTCTTTTTATATATTATCTAATTCATATCATCTCACATATTAATTATTTTTAAATTAAAATACATCAATTAAAGTTTATTCTCCTAATTTTATAAAATGCATTAATTATAATTTTTTTTAAATTGGCTAGGAGAAAAATAGATATTAATCAAAAGAAATAAATAATATAAGATATGCACTCCAATTGGTTAGAAGATATATAGTATTTATTATGAAAGAAAAGTAGTATAAAAATAGTTTAGCATCGACTAGGGGGCTTGTTCCGGTATTGCCTAAAAGTTTCACATCGCTTAGGAGTCGAGCCTAAGAGTAATTTATAAACACTCTTCCTCCTTAACCCACCGAGACGCCTTTTAAAGGATAAAATCGTGACGACCCAACGAGCCAAAGCGGACAATATCTCGGATGCAGTGACCCTAACGATGACAATGGACTTATGATAAGAACAAATATTAATCAAAAGAAATAAATAATATAAGATATACACTCAAATTGGTCAGAAGATATATAATATTTATTATGAAAGAAAAAGTAGTATAAAAATAGTTTTAGAAGAAAAAAAAAATTATTATCAACTAAATTAATTAATTTTCCTAATCTTAGTGGATTAGGTCTTATATATAGGCACGAAGGTAGTAATTAACAAGGTCCAATACAATTGATCGATACTGCATTTGTTCCTATATATAAGATTCATTTACCTAAATCATCAATATTACAAAAAAAAAAAAAAGTGTTGATCACTTTGAATGCTGATTTGCAAGTCCGAACTAACTAAAGGTTGATTTGGAGTATGAAAGCTCCTAACACGATGAAGATATTTCTTTGGTGTATATTGTGCGGATGTCTACCTACAAGATTGAACCTTCAACGCCGGCATGTACCATGTACTATGCTTTGTGCTACATGCAGTGTAGGTATTGAAAATGAATGACATTTTTTTAGTGTTAGGCAACAAAGGACATATTGTATGCATCAGGATTTTGGCCTAATATCTCCCAAATAATTGCTAATAGTGATGGAATATAATAATTGCTCCAACGCTTGACTCCCTTGAAATAATAGATCTCCCATGTTTGATGCGGGGCATTTGGTGCAAGAGAAATGACATATTATGGAATAACAAGGTGACTCCATCTCATATAGTTGTCTTCCTTGCGCGACAACGGGTAATAGAGTGTGTTGCGGGTTGCATCAATTGTCCCGTGGCGGAGGCTAGGTCATGAGTTCGATACCCAGCAGGGCAATTGCTGAGGGAGAGATTGTTGCGGGTTGCATCAATTGTCCCGTGGCGGAGGCTAGGTGGGCCAAGTCACTGTCGAATCATGCCGCTTGGGCTGCTGCGCTCTTAAGTAAAAAGAGTTGCGCCCTGACTATCAGCTATAGCTTTTGGCCTAGTGGTAAGCGCTCGATCCAACAGAGTGGATGACTGCTAGAGAAATGCAACAAATACCAAAGGCACCAAGAAATGATCCAATCTACTGGATCAAACCTCGATCAGGATACATGAAATGCAATGTAGATATGACAATCTTTAATGACTCAAATTGTTGTGGTTTTCGCTTTTTGTATACATGATGATTTAGGAAGATTCAAATATGATACTTCTGGTTGGTATAACGACTCCCCACCAACAAATGAAGTTGAGGCCATAGCTTATTTAGAGGCTATCACTTGGTTAGCAAAATCCCATTATTTAGAAAGTTTTGATTGAACTTGATTGTAAACAACCTGTGGATGATTTATATGATTTCACAAGCCATTCTCTTGAGTATGGTTGCCTTATTTATAAATAACGTTCTCTTTTAGCCTTACACAATAACCTTGAGGTTATGTTTGTTAGGAGACAAACAAATCATCTTTCCCATACACTAGCTATGATATCAAGATTGTATGCTAGTCCCCATCATTTTGATTTTATTCCCACCTTATTGCCGCTTCTATTATGAATGAATGTCTTGAGTTTTTTCGCATAAAAAATAATAATTTAGTCGATAAAAATAAATTTTGTTTTATTTATATATATTTTTCTAAAATATCATTATACTACTTTTCTTTCCTAATCAATACTCATATATTTTCTAGCCAATTATAATACGTTTTATGCTATTTATCTCTCTTAATTATGATTCATTCTTTTTTAATTAATTAGAATGTATATTTTTTAAATAAGTTATAATTAATACAATTTGTTAAATCAAAAGAGTACACTATAATTAGAGACATTTTAGTCTAAAAACAATTAATATATATATATAAATATGAATTTATTTTATATTAAAATAAGAAACAATTATTTAATGTCAGTTCTATAAATAAGAAGAGAAGTTATATTCTTTAAAAACATTAACAATTTTTTTTTTGTTTTCGCATATGGATAAAATTATCGAGTTGACTCACAACTCCCCACACAAAAAAGTTCTTATATAAGTATTATATTTAACAAATACAATAAATGATAATATATTTATACTTACATATAAAAATGATTTCATATGTTTTTTTTACATAATTAAATGAACTACTTTACTCTTATAAACTATGACCATCTCTAGCTCATTTATTTATATTTCCTCCTCTAAACCACTTTTATTTCTTAAATAACTATGTGTTTTATTATTTTTATAAATATTGAGGTACAAAGTGTTCTTTTATGCTAATATAATTAACTAAAAACTACCTTAGTATTTACATATTTTTATGCCTACGGAATGCACTGCATCTCTGTGTGTTTTCGTCTCGTATTTTGCTGTTTGCTCCAAACATTAGTCAAAAGATAAAATAATTGCCGAAATTAGATTTGATACGGCACAATTATTGTGTATTCACATTTGGCTTGCCTTGCACCAGCTCATACGCTTCAATCAAGGTGGAAAATCATTTAAATTGATTTATCATTGGAATGCCATAATTCCTGCAATACACAATAAAAATAAGAATAAAACATGTTAACCGAAATGTCAATTGTGAATTGTCAATGCTGTAGCATATGAAACGGGCAATACTCGCATGTGACTCATTTGAAATTAACCAAAGCTATTACGTATAGTATAAATAATTCAACAGCAGAAATTGTGCATTTATTATTATTATAAATGACATGTATTTAATTATATATGAAGTGTAATAAAGGGTGTGAATACTATTAAATTTAATTTCTGTAAATCTAATAGTCAAATCCACCAGGTTGTCATTCGATAGTCAAGAATAATCGAAATTAGGAGAGTAGATGTAGTATTATGATTTGCGCGGTCCCATGTAGTAGCTTCCAAGTTCCAACAGGCAGCCAAACAACGTACATAGAATGTCCCAGAAGCGACAGAGGCATTACAATTGTTTCCGCGTACAAATATCATTGTTTGGGGAATGAAATAAATTAATCACATTAAGATACCGCGTGTCGCGTCAGAATTCGCGCCCAAATACACTGTCATACAGCTTCCACAATCTTAATATATAACCACACGCAGTCACCGCCTCTATTTTCCATTCACTTTTCCCACCCACCTCTTTTATATCATTACAAAAGAATGTTAAAAAAAAATAATATATATAATTATGTAGTTAGTTACCTTACCTGCAAGTCTTGCAACCTTTCACTATTCTCGTCTCATATTATATATACATGTGTACAAAGAGTGCCTCTTGCTACTTCAACTCTATCCTTCTTCACACTTTTCTTTCCTCCATTTAATTTGTTGCCCCATTCTTTCTCAAACAACTAACCCCAAACAACATGAAGGTGCTGAGCTTCTGCTCCATTTTCCTGCTTTTGGATTTGCTTTTGGTTGCTGCGGAGGACCCTTATAGGTTCTTCGACTGGACCATTACCTACGGAGACATTTATCCTCTAGGAGTTAAACAACAGGTTAATTACTATCTATGTTCTATGGTTCCCTTGTTTTTTCTTTAATTTGTTACTATTCTTTTCATGTATGTGCTCATTGCTTGGTTTTTTGCATTTGCAGGGTATTCTTATCAATGGCCAATTTCCGGGTCCTGAAATCTACTCTGTTACCAATGACAACTTGATCATCAACGTACACAATAACTTGCCTGAGCCGTTTCTTCTATCATGGTAACAACCCTTTCTCTCTTTTAATGCTGCGTCTTGTTCCAATACATGTCAGTAATTAAACAAAGTTAAGGCATTCTATTATGAGGAAGAATGAAACATGGATGAGCTATCCATGTTGAGTACGTAACATTTTCATTGCTTTAACTGATAAATCATAGTATTGATGATGAGGTAGGTTTGTAATAATGTGAAAAATAAGGTTGTTCAGTGCAAGTCATGGGAAGTGCCTTGCGCGGTGACTTGTTAAAATGTTACTCTAATACGTAATCCAACTGGCAAAGTGGGCACTTTTTAACTAAAGCATGGCTTGCTTGTTGCTTCTTCCAAAAATGTCTTATTCTGTTTTTCTTTTTTTATTACAATGGAACTACTTATGGCAAAGCTTTCTGTTATACTTCATTTACCTTTTTTTTCTTCTTTAATGTCAAGGCGCGTACCTCGCTAGAATAGCCTTCTTTCTAAAACTTGCTCACTCATTCAACTATACACGAATCTATGACAAAAATAGTAGGACTAATTAATAATTCAATATAAAAGCACATTTCTTTTTTGTCTTTTTCTTTAGGGGATTAATTTATTATTTTCTGTATTACAATGGCTAATTAAAGATAATATTAAATAATAAATTAATATGAAATTATACAAAATAAGTTAAATAAACCTTACGTTAAAATTTATAGATCATATTATATATTATACAAGATAAAAAAATATTGTAATAATAGTTTCTGTATACATTTTATATATGACCCAGTATTTATTTAAAATTATTTACAATTAAAATTTAAAGATCATATTATATATTATACAACATAAAAAAAATATAGTAATAATAATTTCTGTGTACATTTTGTATATGACCCTGTATTTGTTTAAAATTGTTTACTAATATCTTATAAATGTTAGATTAAATTGTTAGCAAAAAATTTGTCATTCATATTTTTTTTTATGGTAACGACTTCACCTTTCATGTTGATCTTATCAATTTTAACTTTGAGCAAAATTATCCTGTAAATAATATTAAATCGGTTTATTTAAAGTTTTGAAAGCATTTTTTTAATGATATAAACATTATTATTTTTATTTTTTAATGCGTTTGTTTAAACTGTTTATTTTAAAAATAAGTAACTTCTGTTTTTTTTTTTTATGAAGCTTCTACTTGTTTATCAAAACATAATTTTTATAATATTTTTTAAAAGTTTAAACAACCCAATATGAACATTGATACTTGTGACTTATCAACATAGATCCAAATTACATGACATATGTTAATTAGATCTGTGTAATAGAAGCTTCTTTTCATAATTAGATGACGTTTGATTCGAATTGTTGCAAGGAAGCAACTCCATATTTCTTTTTGTGTTGGTGTTATTGATGAGGACAGAGGAGAAGCCCCTTTTGTTCACTGACAGATGTATAAAAAACAAAAACACGGACTTAATAAATGTGGATCTCACCAATCACTTCGGCCCTTTAAGTCATGTCACGGACCAAACCCATTCCCTACAAGTATAAGCCCACCTAACTGATTATTCACGAGTGAGGCCCTGTAAGTCATTAAGTCATGTCTCGTACCCTAATAAAATTATTCACGAGTGAGGCCCATCCTTGTTTTGGACTCGGTGGGCATTTACACTTCCCTTAAACCCAAACAAAAATACCTCTTATTTTAACACAACCTTTATTTGATTTAACAATAATTTGCATAATAATGACAACAACAAAAAGTATTATGCATGATGAGACATGAATGAATTAAAATATTAGGAAAGGAAAAGAAATTTACATTATGCAACTCTAATCCTCGTCTTGCTGACTTGTGCTTGATTAATGAACAGGAGTGGTGTTCAGCAAAGGAGAAATTCTTATGAAGATGGAGTTTATGGAACAACATGCCCCATCCCTCCTGGGAAGAACTTCACCTACACACTTCAAGTCAAAGATCAAATTGGAAGTTTCTTCTATTTCCCATCTCTTGCTTTCCACAAGGCAGCTGGTGGCTTTGGTGGCATCAAAATCCTTAGCAGGCCAAGGATTCCTGTCCCATTCCCAGACCCAGCTGATGATTTCACCCTTCTTATTGGAGATTGGTACCAAATTGATCACAAGGTAATCAAACACACCCATTGCTCTCAATTTACATGATATAGCCACCCGATATATGAATTCTACATAACATATAATGAGTGTTATTAATTTTTGTTTGTAATTAAAAAACTTAAATACATGTGATGTAGTAATTGAATGAGAATTATAGATATTTAGTGATTGTGGACTACTTAATAATTTTCGTCCTACCTCCCTGTTTTTAACTTTTGCCTCCATAAGCTGACATAGGATTTGTATGAATTCAGAAGCTGCAGAGCGTTCTAGATTTTGGACATAAACTTCCATTCCCTCAAGCCGTTCTTATCAATGGTCGTGCAAACGGCACAGCATTCACAGTTGAACAAGGTATGCCTTTCAATTGTCCTCTTTTTTCCTTTATAAATGTGGATTCTATTAGTTTAAGGTCATTGAATTTTGTATGATAGTAATGTTTATTTTGGCATCTCTTAATGGACAACAGGGAAAACATACAGGCTTAGAATATCCAATGTTGGACTTCAAAACACACTCAACTTCAGGATTCAAGGCCACAGCATGAAGTTGGTGGAAGTTGAGGGAACTCACACCATACAGACCACGTATTCCTCGTTAGATGTTCACGTGGGACAGTCTTATTCTGTGCTTGTCACAGCTGATCAAGCACCCAAGGACTACTACATTGCAGTCTCCACTCGTTTCACCAACAAGATCCTCACAAGCACTGCCACCCTTCACTACAGTAACTCCCAGCAACCTGTTTCTGGCCCAATTCCTGGCGGCCCAACCACTCAAATCGATTGGTCCATTGAACAAGCTCGTTCAATCAGGTAGTTCTCCTGCCATGATAAATTATTAAGTAATCATGAACCGCATGGTCCTAACTAATCTCTATACTTGTTTTGATCTACACCTTTTCATCACATGTAGAATTGTAATTAGAGTAATATTATATGCACATTCACACATCATGCTATCAGCCATGTCATTTATTACTTATAATAAACGTTTGCATTTTGCAGGACAAACCTGACTGCAAGTGGACCAAGGCCAAATCCACAAGGCTCATACCATTACGGTCTCATTAACATTAGTAGGACAATTACCCTGGAGAGCTCAGCAGCACAAGTGAATAAGAAACAAAGATATGCAGTGAACAGTGTATCATTCATACCCGCTGACACTCCTCTGAAGCTAGCAGATTACTTCAACATTAGTGGGGTTTTCAAAGTTGGAAGCATCCCAGATACCCCTTCTGGTAAACCCATGTATCTTGACACCTCGGTCATGGGTGCTGATTTTCGAGCCTTCGTCGAGATCGTGTTTCAGAACCACGAAAGTATCGTCCAGAGCTGGCACATTGACGGATACTCATTTTGGGTTGTAGGGTATGGTTTCAGTTTCACATTTCATAATCACTACACAACACTATCTCCTTCACTCTTTAATTTTATACGTGCACGTCAATCACTGAATTTTGACTTGCCATTAATTTATCATGCAGAATGGATGGTGGTGTGTGGACGCCTAATAGTCGTAACCAGTATAACCTAAGAGATGCAGTATCTAGGTGCACAACACAGGTTAGTACTTAGTTGTATTTGGTTGGCATATTTCATGTGATCATATATAGTATAATGCAAATGCAGCAGCAACAGCCTAATGATGAATTTTGTGTCACAGGTGTATCCTAAATCATGGACCGCAATATATATGGCTCTAGATAATGTGGGTATGTGGAACGTGAGGAGTGAATTTTGGGCACGACAATACCTTGGACAACAATTCTATATGCGAGTGTATTCACCAGTTGGATCCGTCAGGGATGAATATCCAATTCCAAAGAATGCTCTTCTATGTGGCAAAGCTGCAGGCAGAACAATCAGATCTCTATGAGAATCGTATCTCTAACACCAGACATGTCTATCAACAGCCTAGTAGAGACTCTCTTGGTCTCATTCTTTGCAAATTCGTCTACCATTTATTTGTTTTTCTACTTAATCTGTCACCCTCCTGTCGTGATAATAATTAAATTACCACCATTGATTTATTTTTTTAATGAATAAATAAATTTCTCGGATGTATTAGAGAATTTCTGTTTTATGCCATAATAAGATAAGATGATGCAAACTAGATCCATCATCTGCATGTGTTTCCTGAGTACGTTCGAAGTGTGCTTTTTAATTACGCATGACATGATTCTATTTCACGATTAGACTAAAATAAGGGACCTCAAAGGAAGAATATGTACATAATTAATTATGTAGGTTCAAGTTATATTTTAAGATTCTAAGTAAACTAGATAAGTAAAAAAAAACAAAAAAAACAAAGCTTGGTATGTAAAAAGGGAATGGCTGTACGCCTGTACGCGAACACGTTATCCATGAATTATTGAAGTAATTTTAGTTTCAAAGCCATGTTCGGATATTATTGAACTTACTCTGTCATATTCACTTTATAATAATGTCTTCCCACTTGGGTGACAAGAGGTACATAAGAATTAATTTTTTTTTATTTCTCTTGGACTTTAGAACACTTCCACTGTTCATATTTCATTATTTGATCATTCAACAAGGGATTACATTAAATTACAATTAATAAACACGTGTTCCATGTTATAGCATAACTGTACATGCATCATTGAAAGTTCTGTATTCTTGGAGAAAATATACGCTCAACTCTTGGACTTGCAACTAGGCCTTTATAAATTTGTGGTCATGAAAATACTACTACAGTACTGGTACTACGTGTGACCACAAAAAGAAGTCACAAAGCGATCCCAAAGATCAAATGAGGGCCTCACGGTCACAGCCGTGTGATTGGCAAACGATTTTCGTGACGCAAAAGATTTGTGTCTCGGAGACGAGCGTGGTTGGGTTTCCTGTTCTGTACCAAACACAAGACAAATAGCGCAGCAAGCAAATGTTATAAAACAAACAAAAGCTAAGCTAACGTGATTGAAATGGGAATACTTGAGCTACACACTATGTCAGATTTGTATGCGCAATGCCATTTTATAATTTTTATGGCTCCATGGGGATGGGGATGGAGAGGGCCCCACCCCCACCCCCACCCTCAGCGATGAGATTAAAATAAAAAATATTGATAAGGAAAGAGTGAAGATGAAATGAGGCACAGAACACAACACATATCTCGATGCAGAGATAACCGCCGTTTGGATCAACGGATTGTAGCTCAACAGGCGTCCAACCAGAGCATGCCACGTCAGAGAGAGTGGAGCCCACGGAAAAAGGAGCGTGTCGGGTGCTTAACCCTGCAAACGGCGTCTCTTTTTCTTGCTTTTGCTCCCATCAAATCATCACCATCACCACTGAAGAACGTTGCCAACGCTTTTTTCCACCGCATTTCGCTGAAATGTGCTTGAGATCTGCCTGAGTAACCATGGGGAGTGTTTCGTCCGAAGACGCTTCCGACCGATGCGGAAGCTACAGCCTCAGTGCTGACGTCAGCGAGTCCGAGAGCTGCAGCAGCTTCTCCGCTCGCCGCTTCGACGCCGAGGGAGCTTCCAGCTCCGCCAACCTCTCGCCTCGCCCCCTCGCCGCTCACTTCAACTTCCCGCCGCCGCAGGTTATGCTTCCCGTCATTGGCGGCAAAGACGTCGTCGTTTGGGATCACAAGCGTCATCTCGACTTGTCCGGTACTTTTTCTTCGCGAATCTCTATCTTTTCTCTCACTCTCCAATTTCAAGACTAATTGCATTTTGCAGAAGTCGAAATGATGAAGGAGAGGTTCGCTAAGCTGCTTCTCGGAGAAGACATGTCTGGCGGTGGAAAAGGTGTCTGCACCGCGCTTGCAATCTCCAATGCGATAACCAATCTCTCTGGTTAGTCACTCCGTAGTGTGTTAATTAATTTAAGTGATTTGCATAATGTCCTGGCAAAAGCATTTTTATGAAGATAGAATAAATGCAATTTAGTTTCTATTAACAGTTAAGTGTGAGTGTAATAGTTGATTTTAGTTTAGGGGAAACTCAGATATTTTCCCTTTTTATCTTTTATTTTTTTTCATCTTGTGAAGAAGATTATGCAAATGTGATTGGTCAAGGTGTGAAATGTGACTATCTGAGTTTGGATTGTGATTGCAGCAACTGTGTTTGGGGAAATGTGGAGGTTGGAACCACTGGCGCCACAGAAGAAGGCAATGTGGCGAAGGGAAATGGAGTGGCTGCTATGCGTGAGTGATTCCATTGTGGAGCTGGTGCCGTCTGTGCAGCAGTTTCCTGGGGGTGGAACCTATGAGGTGATGGCGACACGTCCTCGCTCCGATTTGTACATCAATCTTCCGGCGCTGAAGAAGCTTGATGGGATGCTGCTAAGTATGCTTGAAGGGTTTCATGACACGCAGTTTTGGTATGTTGACCGGGGGATTATATTGGGTGATTCCAAGGATTGTGATGCCTATGGTAGACCTTCGGTTAGGCAAGAGGAGAAATGGTGGCTTCCCTCTCCCAAGCTTCCACCAAATGGCTTGTCTGAGGAAAATAGGAAGAGGTTGCAACAGTGTAGGGATTGCACCAATCAGATACTAAAGGCTGCCGTTGCAATTAATAGCTCTGTGCTTGCTGAAATGGAAATTCCCCGCGCCTACATAGAGTCCTTGCCTAAGGTAAGTAATCATGCCCTGTGCTACTTACTAATGGCTTGACTGTTATTTTTGTATAGTTATAATCTGAGTATCATGCTACGAATCTTTGATATAAATAAATTATAATGGTGCATCTTTGAGTTGTACAAACTTCTACTTTTGTAAAATGTCTGGTTTGTGTGCTGAAATGAAATCATGCCTTGAAGGTAGTTGGAATTATTGATTCTTGAAAATATGCTAGAACTTGATGAAGACTGAAATGGCTGTGTTCTTTTGTGCAACTGCAAATGCAGAATGGAAAGGCTTGTCTAGGGGATATAATTTATCGATATATAACGGCAGATCAGTTCTCACCTGAATGTCTCTTTGATTGCCTGGATCTTTCGTCAGAGCACCACACTCTGGATATAGCTAATAGAATTGAGGCTGCTATACATGTATGGAGGTTGAAGGACCAAAAGAAACATGAAAGTTCAGCAAAATCAAGACGGTCTTGGGGTGGAAAGGTGAAGGGTCTTGTTGCGGACGGACACAGTGAAAAGAACCATTTTCTTGCCCAACGGGCAGAGACACTGCTGGAAAACTTGAAACACCGATTTCCTGGGCTCCCGCAGACTGCACTAGATATGGCCAAAATTCAATATAATAAGGTATATTAACTATGTGGAATATTTTACATGCATCTGATTGAGAAATCCTATTGTTTGTGCCAGTAAGCATTCAAACTACATACGAGTGTTTTCTCAATTTCTTTGTCCATATTGACGATTGATTGTAGCCTTTTTTCATTGTATGTTTTTTGTTAATATTTAATCGAAATCATGGGTACAATTCCGTTGTTATAAATGGTTTGTGATTGATGTGCAATGTAGGCTTGTTTGTGGTTGAAAGAAGCTGGCTTGGAATGAAAAATAAGCATCTGTGAAATTTCTTTTCATTGCAGGATGTTGGACAGTCTATTCTTGAAAGTTATTCAAGAGTGATGGAGAGCCTGGCCTTTAACATAATGGCGAGGATTGATGATGTCCTATATGTAGATGATAGTATAAAGCGATGTGCAGCTGCAGATTCTCTCTCATTGTTCAGTAGGGGAGGTTTTGGTGGCATGCCCATCCAGAAGCGATTCTCTCCTAGTCCCTTCCCAATTCAACACACCCCATATGCGTCCCCATTTGCAACACCATCGTTCTGTTCCTCCTCTCCTGTAACTGGGAGCCCTTGCAGTCCAGGAAGGATACATGATGTGAAGAGGAATGCTCGGAAGGAGGGTGCAGATTCAAAAGCCGAAAAGTTAGCTACATCTGAGTTTGAGAGGGTGTGGTCATGTGCGGGAAACCTCAGTGCAACAAGAGCGTCTGGCGATGCTCCAGAAAGAGACTAAATTCACCCATGGGTGGTCACTGGTCATTAATCATGTTGTCTTAATGTGGATCTGGCTTAAAGCCCTTGGTCCCCCCCGCCCGCTGTATATGAGGGTCTAATTTTTGTATATTCTTAGGCAGTATGAGTAGGATTATGTTGAAAGATCATGCTAATGGATCATTAGTTAAAATGTTTCCTCCCAAGTATAAATTTCTAGAGGTAGGCCGTGATATTATTTTTTTAACAAGTGCCAAATTCTAAGTAGAGTTTTTTACTACATAACCCATTCGAGATTCTGCATTATACATGTGCAGATGTGCCCTTGCTCTCCTACTAAATCTAGTCATGGCTAAACAGCAATGCCAACGAATCCCCGGTCTCAAAATTTACTATTTCATGTTGAGAACAGTGACATGAATTCTTAAAATAGCTACTATTTAGTAATAACCAACGTGTCTCCAGTAATATGAACAGTGTGCATGTGAAGAAAACAATTTGTGAAGATACACACGAAATTGTAAATTGTCTTCCACTAGAAGTATTCTGCATGTATATTTATTGGCCACGAAATCAACACTAATACTACTAACTTTCTCCTACATAATTCCTTGTTTGTTTAGTTTCATATTGGGAACCAATGAATATGAATTTAAAGTAGGTAAAGAATAAACATACAGCGTAGTAGATAAACTTGATTTTTATCTGACTTATGTTCACACATAAATTTCACGTCAAAATAACAAAAGGGAAACGTGGAAGCTACTCTTAGGGTGTGTTTGTATTATTATGACGTTCTGTTCAACCTCAAAGTATTGAAAGAGAAGTTCCGTTTAACGTGATTTGAAATTTAGGAATTGAATAAAACAAACATACACTTGGTGGCTTCACTCATAACTTACATCATCTACACTGTAATATGGAACCAAACAGACAGATAGTTGGGAGTAGCTTGTATGCCTTCATCTGAGTTTCATGTATACTGATTTGCAACGAGTAAAGTGCAGCTCATCCAACAACACTTATGGTGCTCTTTCCTTATTCCGACATGCATTGCACCGTCCCCATTTCCTGCAACGGATGTTAGTACATTTGGTGGTGAAAGGTAAATAAATGTTGAAAAATGCTGCACCCTCCGAAAAAAATATTTTGAAGTTTGTTCCGAATTATTAAAAAACTGATTTAAACAATGAAATATTAAATTAAATAATTATTTTATAATAAATTTATTTAAAATATTAATATTTTAATCATTCATACGTTGATTCGGAATTTGGTTCGAAGTATATTGGTAGATGTTTCTTCCTGTCGCTCAATCTTACCACTACATTATTGGATTTCAGAGATTTCTTGCCACGATGAAATGGTAAGAACTTCTGTCACTTTTGCAGTTGCCTTTGTTTGTTTTTGTTATCCATTTCATTTAATTTTTAAGAATTTAACAGGGCTACATGCACATTCTCCTTCAAAAGTTAAAACATTATGCATATACCTAACATGCACGCGAAACTTACAGCCTTTTTGATTCATAGGCTTTTTTATTTATTCATACACCAAAATTTCAGCCAACTTTAATAACTACACATCTCCAAAAAGCAATTTTTAAAAAAAGTATTCAAATAACATTTTCATTTTTAGTTATCCAAATAAAAGTAGACTTTAATATTATTCAAATACCACTAGACCAAATTAAGTCTCCTTTAAAACTTATTTATTAAACAGTATAGTTTTTGAACTATCTATCAAATATGAATCTGGTCCAGTCAACTCTAAAAAACACTAGTTTAACTAGAATTGTCTGGTTTATGTCAGCATTTTTAATTTCTTTTTCTGTTAAGGTCAGCTAGTCTTAACGTGTATGTTTGCGTGGAGGCCAGCTGTTTTTTTTTTCTTCTTCTTTTTTCCTTATGGACAACCAGCTTTCCATCAGTGATTTCTACATGATGTGGGTGCCATGTATTTTTTCCCGTCTTCTAGTGAAAAAATACAATGGCTGGCTTTATGTGTGAAAACGCTAGTTAGATATTAGTTTTGTAGAAAACGTTACTTATAGACTAACTTGCTACTATAAGATGGAATGAGGATGATGGGTCACTACATCATGTGAAATACACTAATGAAAACTAGGACATCAAAAACAAAAAAGCAATTAGGTCTTCAATTTTCGTGTTTCTTTCATATTTTTACATGTAACGTTTATTATTAAGGTGCTCTTTTTTTTTTAATTCTTACAAAATTAAATACTTTTATCATGTCAATACAAAATAAATATTATAAAAAATTATAAATATAAAAATTAAAAAGACATATGTTGAATTATAAGGACTTAACAACACAAGAGATGAAATAAGGATGATGTGATGACTACATCATGTGGGAACACAAATGAAAGACTATCTTTCTATTAGGGCATGAGAAAAAAAAAATAAAGTAATTAGGTTTGGATATTTTATGTCTCTTTTGTATTTTTATTTAAAACATTTATTGTAAGATATGTATTTTTTTATTTAAAGACCTCTACCACATCAATAAAAAAGCAAAAAAAACTAGAAAGAAAAAAAATTAACGACAAAGATGAATTAAAAAACTGTAAATGTATGAAATAATTTTTTTTTATAAATTATAAAGACTAAAAATGATTTAAAGAGATAAATATATTAAAAAAAATCTACTTTAAACTATAGATATTAAAAATTAAAGTAAATAAAATTATAAAAACTAAAAAAATACTTTAACTTAATAATAATAACACTGACATTGACTAGTATTTTCTAAGCATTGGCTGCACAAAATTGATAAATAATTTCAAAATGGCACCAATTTAGTAAAAAACTTTAAAATGAATCCAGTAGCTGCTATATATTTAAATAACATTAATCACATTTTTCTTATAGATGTTATTCAAATCCAAATCAATCACATTGCTTTAAAAATGAAATTCATTTTTATTGAAACTCAATTCTACAAAATTAAGTTCTTCTAAACTTTCTATAAGTGTATAACCAAAGTCCAAACACATGAATATTATTAATGAATTTGATTCATAAAGACTATTGGACCTGTGAATGAGCAAAGCCCTAGGCTTTGAAGAGTTTCTGGTTTTGGACATGAATTATTGCTTGTATGAGAAGCAATGAAAGCAAGTTGTATGACAATTTGAGTAGCTCTCTGAACCCACGGCCACTAATTATAGGTTTGTCCTGTTTATGAGAAGTAATAATGTAGGAAGAATGTGTAATATAATATCTCTGTTTCTTTCAAACCTTAGCTAGCTATCTTGGACCACTTTTGGTTATTGTAAAAAGGGGTAAAAAGAGAGTTGAATGTAATAGATATATAGGAAACAGCTAATAAGTAAACACTTTCAGACACTACGTTACTCATAATTTTAGTGCTTCCTTTGACTAGCCTTGCCGTCCAAATAATACAATGTATCTTCTGCCTTCTATTTTTAATTCTCATAAAGTCCTATTATACTTTCTACATTGATTTAATTTCTCTAAAAATATTTATAAAAGATAAAATAAAAAAATATTTTCTTTGAAAACTAAAATTAATTAGTTCATGTACAAATTAAAAAAATTGAAAAAGTTAACATAAGAAAATTTCTACAAATAAACTTATGTGTAAACTAATTATAATTTATGAAATTTTTTTTCTTTTTTATTTTCTTCTCTTATAAGTATTCGTGAAAAAGTTTATACAAACATATTATTTTCTAATTTAAAAGTTACATATCTTATATATTAGATTAAACCAACTCAATTATAACTTTTCTATGAATTAATTATATATTAGATTTATTTTTAAAACTTTATAAATATCTACATATTTATTTAATTTGATATATTATCAAAATAAGCTAATTAAAAATCATCCTAGATATTATTATTTTTAATCTATTTTTATTGAAATTTAAAAACATTGGTGCAATACACAGGAAACTTGTTAATAATGCTATTACTAGTTATAGGTAATAATGAAATGATGATTAAAACTAACTAAACAATTAATTATAGTGATACAAAACTAAAAATTAAAAATTAAAATAATGGATTATAAAAAGTATTGTAAAATGGTACTGTAACACTCGAAATAGTATTATCAAAAGTAAATATTTAAAAAAATTTAAACAATAATTCAAATTATTATAAAAATAATGAAGTAAAAAATTATTATGAAGACGTGAGTATCAGAAAGACAATGAAATATAAACAAAAATACTAAAATAAAAGTATTATACAAAAAAAGAAAAAAAAATTAATAAAAACATCACAAACTATAGCAATATAGTATTTAAAACATAATAATAAAACATCAAAAAATCAGGAACCCCACGCACACTAAAACAGCACTATTACAGTGTAATCATATTTCATGTTCTGTTGTCTTCATTTTAATTGGTTTGATCGAAACACAAGTATCGATTTGTCAGAATTTATCATTTTTTTTTCATTGTTATTTTATTAAGATTAATGATTTATTCTTTTTTTTTTTTACTCTTGATAATTAATATATGTTTATTGAATAATGTGTCTATTTATTTCTAATGTCTATCTATTTTTTCTCTAATTATTTATATAAAGTTAATGTTACATTTAAAAGGATCATATGTTTCCAACGAAATTATAAAAAAAATAGAGAGTAGAATAGAAAAGTAAGTAATAAATATTTTTGAAAACTAAAATATTAATCATTTCCTTAAGTTCCGTGCAAAACTTTAAACGACTATGAATAAAAAACGGAGAGAATAATATTTTCGGAAGAGAATTGCTATCTATCTTTTATATATACATGTAGAGAAGAAGGTATTTCGTGATTCCGTGATAATTTTTTATGAATATATATATACGTTAGTGGATAGTTTGCAGACAGTTTTAAAAATAAAAATTGTTTGAAAAAATATTTTTCTATCTTTTATCATACAATTTATGTAATATTTATAAAAAATTAAAATTATCACAAATAATGCGTACATCAAAATAGGAAATTAATTTTATATATAGATATAGATTATTATTAAGAAAAAAAAGACACTTTATACCTTATTATTATTGTGAGAAAAAAATTATAAAACGATTATGATGTAATTTATTTATTTTTTTAAATAATTTTTATTTAAATTAATAAATAAAATTACTGAATTATCGTTTACTAAAAAAAAATAATCGTAATTACTATAATAAATAAAAGATAAAATATTTTAGAAATTATAAATTTTTATTTATTTTAATTCCCCCCTAAATTATCCTCGTAAATGCCGCCACGGTAGCTGTATTTTCTGAATGAATTTTTTAGTGGCTCAAGCCCATTTCAATTTTTTTTTTCTTTTTAATTGGTTGGCACTTTGGGTTAAGTTGTTACAATCTGGGCTAAACTTCTTTCTTCCATTCATATCTATTGGGCTCATAATACTTGGATTTATTTGAAAATTTCTAAATATGTGAGCATCAATGTTTGATTATTATTTTTCCTCTGATGCGGTTACTAATAAAAATAAATGAGTCGACAACATAATAAATAAAATATGAATAAAAAATAAAATCAAAACATTTTAGAATCGTGTTGACGTCTTTATGTTAATTCACAAGTCAGTAATGATAACCATCACAATAAAAGTCAAATAAAATAAAAATTATTAAACTTCAACGAAAACATATCGACAATCATTCTCCTGAACACCCTTTAGAAACAGTTGGATCAAGAAAGACAATTTTACTCTAATTAGATATAATATTGTGAACAACAAATTTTTTTTTAAATATTTAATATATTTTTATCCATCAAAATTATAATCACCACACTAAAAATTAAATTTTATATTCTACACATCTTAATATAACTCGAAAATAAAATTATTTATTAATTATAATGACAATATTATATTTAATATAATTAGATATTCAGAATTCGAGACGAAAACTATTTATTAATTTTAAGTTGAAATAATGCTAAGCTACTCTATTCATGCACTTAACAATAAAATTAATTAAATAAATTATTAATATGAAACAATTTAATTTATTTTAACGTGTTCTAAATATGAAAGTTGGTTCGCAAGTTAGTTTAAATAAATTCTATACAGCGAATTCTAAACATAAGAACTGTTTTTTTAACCATTTCAAATCAATTATAATTATTAATGATTCTAAGTAGAATTTAAAAGTATTTATCAGGTGAAATTGAAGGAAAAAGTTACCAAATTCATCTCATATTCCTGTCCTAATTTGTACCATTTATAAAATATGAAAAAAGTGGGAAAAAAAAAACCAAATAAATTGACAGTAACACGTTTGAAAGCAATAAAATGGAAAAGCTATAGAGTTAAGATTGTTTTAGGTTGAAAAAACAGAAGAATTACCTAGATTGAAAGGGAATCTTCTGGAAGTCAAGAATTCATTAATTATTGGGGGCAGTAACCCAAATCCAATTAGATAAAATTTGGAGTTTAGTGGTCTGTTGGCACTTGAAGGAAGGACCAACCGCCCCACGTGTCCCCCCACAAATATATGTTTTTTCTTTCTCTTCCTATGATCCTATCGACTTTTTTTTTTCTTTTTCTTTTTTTTCCCCTTTCATCATAACATAAACAAATTGTATATGGTAGTGGTCCTATACCCTAATGGAGCAAGTTCAAGGACTTTCATATTCATAAAAACAATATCATTTCAAATATCATCTTGCAAAACTAATTTTATTTTAATATAAATATACATATTCTTAAAGTGTACTTTCTCTTAAAACCAATTTAAATTAATTTACATTCTTCCCACTTCCCACCAACATTTTGTTCTAATTGGTAAAAACCACGTGTAATTAAAATGACGATCATCAAAATTAAATTTTCACATCATATACATGTTTTAATAATAGTTATTTTTCTATAAAAAATATAAATTAATTTTAGTACATAGTGATGATTTAAATTTTATTTTATCAATATGAATTTTGTTAAAATCAATTTTGAAAATACAAAAAAGAAATAGATCTAAAAGTAGTTAAGATTTAATAGTATTATCTTTAAGTTTAGTGGATAGTCGGTAATCGGTTTGCATAGTTCCTTCTAACAGGCCATTGTTACACGTAAATCATTTTTTATTTTCATTGAGTGGCTGTAAAGGATTTTCAGAATTAACTTCAACATGCACTTATAAGATTTTCTCTTTAAATAAACTTATAACAACACCAAAATATCGCTTAATAAATTTTATTTATTTATTTATTTATTATTCTAGTCGTGTATTTTATCCATCCGTCTAGTATTTAAAATATATGTTCATGTGTGAGCAAAGTACCAACATGAAAATGTAAAAAAAAAATTGTGATAAGAGTATTTTTATTAAATATTAGGAATGAAAGTTTAGAATAAAGTAAAATTAGAATAATAAAAGGAGTAAAGTGCAGTTAATTAAATAAAAGAGAAATGATTTTATAGTTTATAGTTGATAAGTATAAAGGTGGAAGGCATGAAGAATCTGGAAGAGGAGGCGAATGGTTGATAAGTACGTAAGAAGTAAGAGGAAGATAGAAAAGGAAAAGAGTGAGGCGAAGGTTAAGGTTGGTGACTTTTGGCGGTGTGGGACTCACGAGAGCGGCAAGGGAGTCACAAGAGTCACAAGAAAGGTTGAAGGGAGAGAATGGAGGGGAGGAAGATAAGTGGTGGAAGCGGACAGGTTCTAGACGGTTCCAATATTATGGAGTTGGTTGGAAACGACCATGTTTTCACCACCTTCGTCGACCATAAGTTTCACGAGTTAGATAGAGACAGAGATGGTAAACTCTCTGTGAAAGAGCTTCAACCTGCTGTTGCTGACATAGGTGCTGCTCTTGGTTTGCCTTCTCAAGGCACTACTTCTCATTCTGATCACATCTATTCCCAGGTTTCACCTTCATGCCTTCAACATCCTAACACTTCATCTCTCTTATTTTCTCTCACCAGGTTGCTTTCTTTTAAGACTAAAATATTCTTCCAATTATCACTTTGTATCTGTATCTAATCTTTACTTAATGATCATAAATTTCCAACCCCTTATACTAATAACACCTTTCCATGAATTCTACTGCATCTGGTAGAGAATGAAAATTTTCTTTACATAAGTAGTTGTTATCACTTCTACTAGAATTTTCACCGCACAATTATATTAGATATCCGGTTATTATCCAATAGAGAAAAGAAAAACAAAACTAAGAAGATATCGTTCTTACTGCTTAGAAAGACCGGAAGAAAATAATGTGGCGTATATGCTTAAAACTTTTTCTGTGGCTCTAGTTTAGGTATTATTCCGAATTTTCCTAGGAGTTCATGCTTCTGATCAAATTATTATAATATCATCTCTGTGATATCATTATATCTTCATCTGATTTGTTTCAGTTCTAATGTCTGTTGTTTTTATCTATTAAAGTATTTTTTGTTAGTGGTTTAGGGCTTTAAGCTTTGTTTTAATCCAATGTCTTTGGCGCATTTGCAACATATTTTATGTGCTTATTAATGTTTCTGATGTTGATGGAGAGGGAGAGCTAAATTGATTTTTCCAACAAGGTTTTATATAAATTTTTTATTTTAACATATTGCTCGGAATATATATCCTTTTCGGGCAATTATAGAGCAAGTGTTTGTCAAAATTTTGACTTCTAGTTGGTCCCAGAAGCATCCTAATCTGTTTATGATAATTTGGACTTATCCTTCAATATGATAAAATGGTCGGTCCTGTGGGACTTGGCTTTTGATTGCTAACTTAAAATTGATTTCTCTTAGCTACTTAACTTTTTGTGGCCATTTTCTTATCTCCGTGTAAGGAGGAATCTGGTGAGAAATGTGGCAGAAACTAAAGATAAGCTGGCATTTTGACCTCTGAGGTTTAATAATATATACACATTCAACTAATAATGATTTGTGCTCTTGGAGTTAAAATTAAAAATAATTAATAGTCAGTAAATGCTGGTAGAAAGTTTTCAGTTAGACTTTAAAGTGCCAAAAAGTCAAACGCTATTATTATAGTCAATGGTAGGAAATTACAAGGCTTTGGCTTCTAGCTGCACTCAGAATCATAGGGTAATGTTCTTGTGGGGACAGGCAAAGGTTTTCTTTAGCGGCATGCTTTGTGGAAAAGCTTTCTCACCCAACTACTAAAGATATGCAAGCAATAAATATATAAAGTATAAACTACCTTAGTCACAAAAAAAAAAAATGTAGCAATTGGTTCTAAAATAACGTGACATAATGAGTATCAAATGGATTATTTTTTTTTTCTTTCCATTTTGTCTATGAGATTAATTATATTTGTGTGAACAAGACCTTGATTGGGCAATTTATGTTTGAACCAATCAGGAAGCGAGAATTGACATGTAGAATTAATGAGTTATACTCCATAGGTGTTGAATGAATTCACACATGGGAAGCTGGAAAAAGTGAGCAAGACTGAGTTCAAAGAGGTTCTCTCTGACATTCTATTGGGTATGGCTGCTGGACTCAAGCGTGACCCAATTGTGATACTTCGCATTGATGGGGAAGATCTTCTCGAATTTCTTAATGGTTCAACTTATGAAGCTGAAATAACATCCATATTCTCTCAGATTGAATCTCCTCACAGATCTCTTCATCACCATATACTTGAAGCTCTGGGCAAGCTCACTGTTGATCATGGGATTCCTCCTACCTCAGATTCTTGGGTAGCCATTTCATACAAACATCGTTGACTTTCTTTAGAGATGTAACACATGTTTTCAAAAAAGTTATGACAATTTTTTTTTTAATCTATGAGAGTTAAATTCGATACCAAGAGAGTTTACAACAGCAGAAATGTTTTTCAGTCAAATCTTTTTATGAGAATAAATTTTCATTTGTTGCTAAGAATCTCATTTTATAGTTTATCCTAGAAAATAACAAACTCAAACTTATTTCATTTCCTTCCTCTCTATTGTCTTTTCTTTTTCTGATTAGGTTTATAACAACATTGTGGAACCGGCACTGCTATCTCTAGATGGCTCTGATTTGGATAAGCCCGTTTCTCAAGAGACATTTTTGGAGGAATTCAAGATGGTGGCATTGGGTGTGGCTAAGCGTCTAAAGGAACAACCTGTCATAGTTGCACACAGTGAGAACACCTTTGATGGAAGTGGTGTTAAGAGACTATTATCCAACAAGTTTGAATTGGACAAGGTTTTAATTTATCTTGGAATGCTTGAAATATCTTTCTTCTTCTCTAACTTATATTGCTCTTGTTAAACCTCCTTATATATATGGAATTCACCAATATATCATGATGATGGGATGCAGACTTTGAACTCAGCTTTAGAGACTTTGCCTAAAGATCGTAATGGAAAGATGTCAAAGGAGTATCTACGGGTGGCGCTGGACACCGTGGCTCCATCTGCAGGTTTACCTCCAGTTGGTGCAATTCAAGAGGTATGTTATGAACACATGCTGCCAACAAGTTGCTAGGTAGAGGTGAAGTACTATACATTGCAGAAAATATATTGTAGCAGTTATAGTTATAATAAGGTCAATGATGACTAAAAATTCAGCATTGGCATGATGTGGCTGTGGCGTGGCATATGATTCAATTATAACTTTAACTGACTAACTGAGCGAAGTGGCCGTTAAGTAACAAATTGTTTTCAAGTGTTTGTGCTTCTTACTTGGCCATTTATTGACCATAGACGTGTTTGATCTTACAGATGGATAATGTTATTGGTGAAGTGTTTAAGATGGTGAATGCAGATGATGGGAAGACGGTGAAAGAAGAGGATTTGAAGAAAATTTTAACTGAAATACTGGGGAGCATCATGTTGCAATTGGAGGGAAATCCAATATCAGTTTCTTCAAATTCGGTGGTGCACGAGCCTCTAGACTCGTCCTCTACACTTCTGCAACCATCACCTAGTGAAACTGAAGCATAGTTGTGTTTAAGTACATGACGGGTAAAACAAACCGAGAAATATAATAAAATTTTTATTTATGTAAATTATTATTACTAGCATATTTCTGTTTTGAGATGTGGCCTGTGGGGCTATTTGTGAATCTCAAAGTATAGGATGCCATGGAGAAGGAAAATTCAATAGTACGTCGGTTTCCCTTACTTGGGCTTGTTGCTTATTTCCCCTTGTACTTCATTCACTCATCGTTCATGCTGTTTGATCATATATAACCAAAAAAGAGTAAGATTATTTTACTATAATGCATACATTATCAAACCATTATGGACATTTTTAGATATTATGCGATGATATCCATGGTAACCCTTTTTATTAAGTGCATAGGAGACAAAAATAAAATAATCCGAAAATCAATGTATTAAGAATATAAATCTGTTTATAATTTATATATTTGTGAGTCTTTATATAGGTTAATTACTAATTACAAATTACATCTCTATTAAGGATAGGCCTAGTGGTAAAAGATTTGATCAATTAATATCTATAAGTTTTTATATATTTTAATATTGTTATTAGCCTAAAAATTTATGGTTAGAGGGTGAAGAGAATCTGAACCCACTAAAATGAGTTTAGTGGTGGAAAAGTTTAACTAAATAGTAATATGAATAAAAGTTTTAGATTTGAATATGTTAAATGAGTGACCGTGATAGACTGCTAGGTAGCAATGAAGTGGGCAACGGTGTAGAATATATAGAATGGGATGATATGTGGTAATTATGGCCTGAGGGGGAACAATCAGCAATGAATGTGAAAATGAGGCTCATAAAATCCCCAATAGAAGAGCCGCTCAAGAAGAACACTAAAAAAAAGTTATTCTATGGAACCCCGCCACATCAATTTGTTTATCAATATATTTGAAGACTTCACCCACACATATAAGAGTGAACTAACTAAAAAATAATTAGAAACTTAATCCAATAATTAAATTGTTAAAATTTAAGTTTTGTATGATTTAACTCCTTTAATTTATGAATAGTCTTAACATATATATAAAAGTGAACTTTTTCCATCAAATTATTTAATTAAAAGTTTTTTTTACCTAAATTATATATACAAAATTTTATATTAATTTCAACTTATTTGATATCTTATTCGTTTAAATCAAAATTGTTGTGATATATATTTTTAAAATATGAATAATTTGATCACTTTTTTATTGTTATCTTTTTTTATAAAAAAATTAACATACACATTCAAGATATATAAAATTATAATTTATTAATTGGATTGATAAAATTCATTTTTTATATAAAATTATTAAACAATGTAATAGTTGATAAAAATTATAACTATATAATTTAATCTCTTTTTACACACATACACTTAAAAAAAATTTGACTTTTGATTTATGGGATTTAAAAAACTAAATCAAACTGTTGTGAGCTATTATGATATCTTTATATTTATATTAATTGAATATGTAATTTAACTTATTTTTTACAATATTTTGTCCAGTTATTATTAACGCATTGTGTCTATTAAAAATATATATTTAGTTATTACTAATTTAATCATGATATAAGTACAGTTGAATGAATAAACATAAAACTAATTCATGTATTTATTATTTAGTTGAATTTAATTTTGGTTTATCATTTCCTACAATAAGGTAGCACTTTTATGAATTTGTTAGATTCTACGGTAGAAAGAAATTTTTTAATTAAGATTCATCTGGAAGAAGGATCTATGGAAGGAAGTATTGAAGCTTAATCATGTTTTTATTACACATTCCCACATATATCACCTAATGGATACACAAAATGAAAAACCAAAAAAAAAACCATGAAACTGTTGAGTTGCATAGCTGTAGTTTCTAATTTTTGTTTTTAAACTATGTTATTTATATAAAATATTTATTAACTTTGTGAATGATTAATCTCTATTCAGAAATTTGATCGATCACTTTTAGTGAGGTTTCTTTTTCCAATGATACTTAATATTGTTTTTTTTCCAATGATACTTAATGGGAAAGTGTTTGTCTTTTCTCAAACCTACTTTTATTTGTCGAATAAACCATGAATTCCATCTTTTATATATTTACCTTTTCTCAAACAGTCTTTTATAGAAATTACTTAAGTTATCCAAGAAATATTAAAAGTAGTCTCTTAAATATATTAAAAAAAACTTCAAATTAGTTTCTAAAGTTTCTCAACTTGAAACTAAAATGATAAGTTCAATATTAAGAAATGAGTTAAATATAGATATTATATAACTTTAGAACCACTAACGTGAAAAAAGCAATACTTGGATTGGTTTATTCTTTACTTGTCTGTTTGTCATAAGTGATAACTAAATAGAGTGGTATTAATTTCATGAAGTTGACACTTAACGTTTCATCAAGGAAGATCATTCCTAACGGCATTGTTAGAGAGAATCCCGCAAGACCCTTCTTCGGCAGGTTAATAATAGGCTATGCAGCCCAAGAAAGGCCCAACCCAGAAAATCCAATGCCCATTCCAGAGCGACCCTCCATGAAGCATCTTCCCGGGCTCAGGCCCACACCAGCATAACCGGCCCGCCCAGTGCCACCACCAAGCACCCAATTCCTTGCACGTTCTCTTATCAAACGCCAACGTTAGACCCAAAAAGAGTATTAAAAAAGTGCAAGGAATATTTATGTGCCATTTTTGGGTCCATGACACTCTTGAGTACGAAGAAACCGAGTATTGATACCATGCATTGTGCTAGCACGTAAAGGAGGGCACGAGAAAGGGTCACAACACCCTTTAGAGCCGCAATGAATATGAAAATTGGGTTCATACGTGCCCCTGATTAAGGAACTTTTGCAATTAGAAACAAGAAGATTATGATGAATGAGAAGCTTGGGATTCCAAACATGCAATGATGGAAGTGGTTAGGTTGAACATTAGTGCGGATGTTGCAATTAACTCTACCAAAGCTGCTTTCCACGTCTCAAAACAAAAACAAAGCTTATTGTTTCTTACTCTTGATTATTGATGAGAGACTGAACAACTCCTAGTTTCTATTTATCATTCATAAAGCTTATATACATGCACACATAAAACTCTTCTCAACATACTTTATTTTATATTCAATTCGAATCATATATTGACTTTCATCAAAATTTATGAAACTGCTTCTTTGCTTTCATACTTGTACTTGAAACTCTGCATTGCGTTCTTCTGGTAAACTATTTGGAACGGAAGGATTATACAGAGAGGCAGAAGAACCAAGAGCCAACTTTAACACATCATATTCTCCATCTACCCAAACCAAACCCTCCTTTGGTAGGTTGATGGACACAGCATAATAAACTAGGCATGCCAAGAAAGGCCCAACCCAGAAAACCCAATGCCCTTCCCAAAGCGAGCCACCATGAAGCAACGCTGGGCCCAAACATCTGGCTGGGTTGAGGCCCACACCCGCATAACCAGCCCGCCCAGTTACAGTTATGGACACAAAAACTGCCAATGCCATGGCCCCAGCCACCACCAAGCATACCATGGGGAGGCCCAAATGTGTAGACCTTTTCTTGTCAAATGCCAATGTAACACCCACAAATAGTACCAGAAATGTGCATGTAAATTCCACTAACAAAGCATCTTGTGACTTTATACCATAATTTACACCTGTGCCACTGATTGCACACCCTCCCAACGAATATGTGTAAGCCAATCTTGGCTCTATGACACACTTTAGTATAAAGAAACCGATTATTGAGCCAATGCATTGTGCTAGCACGTAAACGAGAGCACGTGTAAGAGTCACAACACCTTTTAAGGCAGCAATGAATGTGAAAACGGGACTCATGTGCCCCCCCGTGAGAGGAACCATCACAACTAGGAACAAAAAGGCTATGATGAACACTGCAAAGGGAACAAGAAGCTTAGGATCCACCTCATGTGAGTCCAAACATGCAATAATTGAAGTCGTCAAGGTGAACATTAGTGAAGCAGTTGCTGTTAATTCTGTTAGTGCTGCTTTCCACATCTGAAACAAGGACAAATCATTATGTTAGTCACAACTCACAACAAATTCAACAACTTAATTTAAGTTGCATCTGTCACCTATATACTAATAATAATTACTATATAAATTATGGTAAGACTTGTGAATTATGATATCATGTTCAATATTTACCTCTACTGTGAGAATTTCATGGGCACCGATTGAGGCAAGTGGATTTTGCCATAAAGATTTCTTACGAACCAAACACATTACTTCATCACTTTGAATAGGGGTTTGAAATTGTTCATCAGAATTATCAACAATTTGGGATTTACCCGAATCCATGTGACTCAATTACAAATGGGGTGGGTGCGTGGATTCTATTTATAGATTGTTTTCTTTATGGTTTAGGCCTAAGGGTACATGTTTTCCTGCCAGTTAGAGCATGAGAAATTCTTAATTAATTACTTCTTTTTTATCAGTAATGTATCATCAGTATATATTTGTATCGATTCGATGATTCGAGTTGTTACTGTTTTTTATTTTATATTTAAAGTACTATACATTTTACATAATAATTTTGAGTTTTAATATTTTTTTATAAAGACATGTATGTTTTACCAAAAATAATTACGTTTGAGTTGAATAAGACTATTGGGGATGACAAAAAATAATTCTATGTCAATTTAATTATTTACGTTTTTGGTGATGTTAAATTTTAAAATAAAACTGTACTCTAATATTAATAAATTTTAATAATTGATAAAAAAAAAATAACTACATTATTTTATATCATTCTAACTCTTGCTTAGAAATAATTGGTCGACTTTTCTGTCCTGGTGATCGACATATTTGTAGATTATATTATATGAGGTAACCTTGATACTTAATTACTCGGAAAGGTGATATAAAAAAGGTAGTTCAATGACTATTGGTACAAGGAAAATTTTATTTTTTAAATAATTCACTGTCTTATCATACTAGCTAAATGTTTGAGGCTCATGACAAAAAAGACAGTAATATGCTTTACGTGAAAGAATATTCACTGTGCAAAAATAAAGTAATATGGTTTTAGTTCTAGACATTTATCCCTCAGAAACAAAGGAAACTTTGGATCGACTAATGCGACTCTACAATTAAATATTAATCACAATTAAATATTAATCAATTAAAGAAAACCTGGCTGATAACCATTTGTTCAACTGATAACAAACGTGTATCATAAACAAAATTGTATTTCATGCATACAGATAAATGTGTCATTATATATAAATGAATAAAATGATATCAAGTTTTGTCGTTCTATATATTTTGTTATCTTCTATGAGTTTTCTCATATAATGGGTATCTAGCTCTGCCGGTTGTACTAATAATTTTAACGTAGAGTCTTAGACTATGCATGGCACATTAAGGTATATGCTATTGTGCTTATAACACTTAACGGCGGGGACAACCTTTTATGTAATTCTCCAAAAAGATGATTTTGTTTTCTATCACTTAATTAACAGTTTTCGTAGTTAAGATTGTTCAAACTTCATGACTTCCACCAATTTATGTGATATTATTAAACATTCTTTTATAATGCGTGAAACAAAAAATACTATGTACTAATAACTTAAATCAATTTTAAATCAATAATATTTTTAAACATGTGAAAAATACAAAGTGATAAGTTATTAAAATATATATATAGTTTAATTTTTAAATAATAAATAAATGTAAATTATTTTAAATTGAATATATTTTTGCAAATAAGTATACACTAATATTTTAATATATAAAATTAATTTGATCCATTAAATACTAGAAAATAATCTTCTCTTTGTATCTCACAAAAATTACTCTCCAATGATAAAAAGAAAGTGGCATGTGAATGGGTCAACCTAAAAGTTTGATTTATTTTTCTAAAAAATTATCTAAAACTAGTTGATTCTTTAAATATCCTCTTTGGAGACACGGAAAGATGGGATTCAAGTTCATAATTTTCAAATCTTTGAAAAACATTTAGTACCTTCTTTAGAAGAAAAAGAAAAATCTTTCGTCTAGTTGATAGATCTGCCAAACCTCATAGAAAATCATCCATAAACCCTTACACGTTAATTTAATGTATAAAGAGAGAAAGTTTGAAAAATGTAATTATATATATGTATATAAATAATATAGTTCGATAACACGAGAAAAAAAAGAGCAGTATATAATAAATTATTCGGTCCTCTATAATTAGTTTATTGAACTTCACTATAATTATCTTAAAATATATACAACGACTATTTTTAATTAGTTAATCGTATAAAGTTTATACTATGAAAAATAGTTATTAATGAAATGTTTAATATATGAGTGCTTATATATTATTACTCGTCCTGCAGTGCAGTCTTCACATTCGCAAATTCTTTTATTATTTAGCATAAAGGTCAACAAGGCACGTATAATGATTAATGAAGGACTTTGGTAATCAACCTTGGAAGGACTATAAATTGTTGGGGAAATTCTAAATCATAGGCAGCTAGAAGCTAACAATACGAGGATCTGAAAAGAACACAATGATAAAAATTTGTATGTGATTACCTCTGGTGTGGAAATCTCATGTGCCCCAATGGAAGCAAGACACTTCCTCCTTAAACAGATTGGCTTGCTAGTCTCAACTAACATTGGAAGTTGTTTAACAACTACATGAGACTTAGCTGAATCCATGAGTTCAGGGATTTTAAGAAAAGGGATGGTTAGATTCTATTTGTATAGAACTATAATCTTCAAAGAATATATATTATTTAGCACCCTTAAGGGTGGATGCAGGTGATGATGATATTGAAACTCGTAATAAAATGGTTTTTATAGCATCTGAAGATAGCTAGAGTATGAGATATAGGTGCCAAAATAATTTACGGTGTTAGCATGTCATGTAGGTATACAACAACGACTGCATAATGAAGTGATGGGATAGTGTTGCTAGCTGCATGCGTGAATGTCTAAGACATGGATAGGTTTTAGCTTACTTAATATTCATCTCTCATACGTAACAAGGAGATATTATTTCTACTTTTCTAGTTCTCTCCAACTTTTTCGCTGTGAACAAAACAAAGCAATTTTTGGACCTATGCAATGCAATCCCTGCATTTTTCCAACAACACTAAAGTATTCAAAAGCAAACTAGTACGTTATGTGAAAAGTACATCATCGTCCTGTGAAGAAACTAGCAATATTATTGTTGTTGTGTTGCTGCTTTGTGATTTATGTTTTTATAAATAAAATATATATATATATATATTCATACCCACTGCATTGAACTTAGAGGGCATATTTAAGGTATATACTGAAAAAAAATGGTCTTGACTGGATCTGGATCGATTTGAAGAATCCTCTGCAATTACGGTATCCATAATTTTAGCTTTTTTCGTGGCATAGATTTGTTCACAACTAGGCATCTCTTGGACAAAATTTTATCCGCTAATTAGTAACATTACGTTTTTGGTGTTTCTTATTAGGAATCTGATCTTTAATTTATCAAACCTTGAAATTAAAGCACAATACGATTAAACAAAGACTTTTTATTTTCAATTTTTAATTTGTATTTTCTGCTATGGAAATAAAATACACTTTTTTATTTACAATTAAAGTATTAGGTGATTTTAAAACTACTTGTGAACCTGTCTGATGCTCTCCAACAAATGGCTAACAAATTGAAATTTAAAAAAACGTTCACATTAATAATCATATGCATTTTGAATTGGTTTCATTGAGTCTAACAAACTGATAATGTTTACATTTTACATACAACATGAAGCTATGAATCATAACTGGAATCTGACACGTTAATGCTTTCAAACATGCAAGGGTAACACTCCAAAACTCCATCCACATTGCATGGTACATAAACCTGGTTTCAAACTAGTCTCAGAAAAAATGAAAAAGCTCAAATGAGCATTACTCCAGTACATACAATTAATAAAAGTTTCAATCATCATTGCTAGGTAACATACACAATTAATTCCAGCTAAAGGTGATGCAAAATTGATGAGAGTTGCACCTAAAACAGCAACCTATACTAATGGTAGTATGATGTATATGTAAAAGTTGAATCCTGTAGACTGTAGTTTTTACAAGGTTTGAAAGGGATTTGGAAAGATAGGGTTATAAAGAATGATGTTGAGTGATCTTCCGAGAGGGAAAGGGAAGCCTCCTGAGGTCATGCAAGAGGGAAGTCCGGAGAATTTTATCAGCTTTGGTGAAGCCAGTGAGACCAACAGCATCAGGGTCTTGAAGAATGGGGTTATGAAGAGGATTCAAACCCTCCAAATTGGACCTCAGCATCTTATCCTTCCTCAAAAAGTCAGCTTTTTTATCGAACCAATCGCCCCAACCTTCCCTCAAGGGAGAAACCCTCCGACCCATCACCGTCTTAAGCAGAAGAGCGC